AAAAAATATTCCAAGTCATTCAATGCCAATGACCGGAGGCGCAAGGCTAACTAATCTCCATGGAAATGAGATATGCTAAGGTGCAAATCCAGAATTTAAAAAAAAAGAGGCCTGAGGGGGTTCGATCCAAGTCTATGCTTATACAACAGCATGCCAAATATGATCGAGTTCTTAAGTAACCTAAACACAGACTTGTTCAAACAGCGACACCACGCTATAAACATGTCTCACATTAATGAATTCATAGAGGCAAAACAAAAACCATCAAGAATGTTCATAACAACCAGGTGTTTGTTGGCATGCACCTCTTTCTTAAACATTTCATGAAACCTTATAATGAAAATCAGATTTATATTTTTATATTGTGTATCACATAAAGGATAATCACCCTGGAATGTAATTTAGAAAATACCGTAACAATATGTTTTCACTGTATTACCTAACAAAAAGCCCAATATGGTTGCAAGAGCTAAACGGTATGATCAGATTGGTCTTAGCTTCAAAGAGCCAGTGAACCAATACAATCAAACCTGTAGGGTATCAGTGTTTGCGTTTGAAGTTCCCCATAAGTATTCTATTTTGGTTCCGATTGGAGACACACCATGGACTAATTGTCATCATAGGTGGTCAAACGTTCATATTTAAACCAAACAAGAACTTTTTCTTTTGTTCTAATTTCCAAAAGACTTCATAGACATATTGGTACAATATATATGTCTCTGAACACATGAAGTGAAATGAAATCAAACCATGAAGGAATATTCTATAATAATACCTATTGTGAATATTGCTATTGTGTTTAGTTTCAGTGAGTTGTCTGGTTTAAGAGGAAGCCTTGATAGTTGGTCATCTTGTTGGAATTATTTTACACTTTGTAATCTTTGTGTCTTCCATAGATTGCTACACAAGGCCATACATAACTGTGACCTGTATTTTCTAGCATTTACATTGGTCTCTGCATGGTGGAAAGATGTCTCATTGGAGATCATACTACATCTCCCAATTTTATATTGATAATCATATAGATCCAAGAAAATAGAAGCTACAAGTATCATTCTATTAAACATACAAAATTTTTGAGAAAGACAATTCTGTACTTTTGGATATATGGTATTAATTATAGACAATTTCAGTCAACTTGAAATTTCACATAGACAGTTAATTTTTATGTGAGCCTGTCTGTTTTATTTAAATGGTTGACAATATATCATTTATCCATTTCATATCCTTGTGACATTAAAATATTCTGAGCATACATGTAACATGACATGGGAAGAAAGATAGTCAGACATACCAAATAGTTCTTATATTTGGGATATTACATGTGACTGTAATAATATATATGTTAATATTTTCATGATAGCAGGTCTAATAACCACTTGACTTGGTTTAAAAGATTTCTTGGATTGTATGAAAAGGAAAGCTTTCATTTTTGATATGCAGCTTGAAAATGTTGAGTTGATGTCTATTAGCAATTTTAAGATCTGCCATGTCTGCTGTGCAGCTACATCTTGTTTCTTGGTATTTTAGAATTAATTGCATGCAGCCACAAAGGTCCAGACCTGGTATTGTTCTTTTTTTTCTCTATTTTTTTATGCTCTTGTTAAAACAGTTTTAAAATTCTTAACATCTTTTCTGGTAGCTCATTTTTACCTGAAAAAGAGAAGTCATATAATATCAATCAAGAATTAACAAAATTGGCATGTAATTACACATGTATAAAAGATCAGTGGCGGATCCACAAAATGTTCATAAGAGGGGGCCCACTCGAGTCATGATTCAGTGATTCCCTATATAATCATTCAAATTTTTCCCACAAAAGGGGGGGACGGCCCGCTGCAACCCCCCTAAATCCACCTCTGAAAATAAAATTGTCTTACTGTTACTGCGGATTCATTTTAATATCAATTGTGTATACAGCAGAGAAAAACAGTCCAATAAAATTATTTTTTCTAGAAGTATGTAAGATGAGTAATGTACTATTAACAAACAAGTCCATTTGCCTTGCTTATATACACAATGTTTTTTTAACTGAAATATAGAACTCTAATAAATGTTTGTACATTCACTGATAAGCTGATAAGTCATTTCTAATAATTATTTCATATATGTACTTACACCTTAATATCAAAACAGTCTCTGTATGTACATGTATCTCTTTCTTTCCATTTCACATAACTCTACAATCAGAACAGCATCTGCAACAACCAAAATTTTAGGTTTATGACCCCTTCTGTAGCCATGTGAATTATGAAATTTTCAAGCTGCAATAGTATCAAAACAGCAAAGATAATGAATAATAGAGATGGGCTGTTTTGTACATATACCAAGGGGAAACTTCGTGCAAAGCATTATTATTTATTGTTTCATTGCATTTAATAGAAAAGGGGGATTTTGTGGCAAATAAACCAAGATTTTTGTAGAAAATCCACAGACTTTAAAAAAGAGATTTTTGTTATAAAATTTTAAACATAGATTACTCACTTGTTTTTCTATGATATGCTAGCATTTATTGTTTACAAAAAGTCCTAAACAACTTTTAATTCCAAAAAACCTCATGCTGAGTCACTAAAGTCGAGTGCACCCTAGAAGGTGTACTTGAACTGGTCCATATTTATATTTGTTCTAACCAATATTTTGATTTATAAACTTGTCCTAAGGAAATCATTGCTAGCACTGCATGCAATATTCCTCTATCTATCAGGCATAGAATGGTCAAATATTAGATTACAAGGGAAAGGCTAGATTTTATTTAAAATTACATGTTTAGCATTGAAACAACAAAAGGATACATAATTCTTAAAGAGCTCTAATTAAGAGCTCATGTTCCTTGCTATTAATATTTATATATGCAACCCGACTTTAAATAAAGATTACTTTACTATACTTTACTTTAAAGACTTTGAGACAAACTTGTCATATAATCAGAAATGTTATTTCAAACAAAGCTGTCCAGTCTTTTGTTTTTTATGGTCATCATCATGGATTAAAAAAAATCTGAGTAAATACTTAAAAGTTAATCACTTTAAATTTGGTTGCCTTTATGAAAGGAGCAAAAATGCTTACCATGTGCAGTATACAAAGATTTAATATTGACCTGGCAGCAGTGACAATTAAACAATGACTGAGAGCACAACATGGTACATTTTTGTAAAAAATATACATGACTATATCATTGTATATCAAGCAGTGTAAATTATATAATAAAATCTAGGATGATATTCACTTACATTCTGCCAACACTTAAAGTAGGAACTATTTCTAGGACTATCGTGACTGTGTGGTAAACAATTTGTGAGGTGGTGTTTGATTAGCATATCAATAGAACAACAACAATGTCAACATGCAACTGCAAACTCGTTATTTTGTTGATTGATTTTATTTTTGTCATTCAATATCGATTATTATAACTTTGTCAATCATTTGTAATGGATATTATGTCAAATAATCGAATAGTTTATCTTTTTATGTCATATTCTTGAAAAAGTTGAAATCGCAAGTACCTTGCGATTTCCTTTCGATATTTTTCAATAGCACAACTTTTTGGCCGTCTGGTTTCAAGAGTTTTTACAGTGCGATTATTATTGTCATTTAGATAGATCAAAAGACCATGTTATGAAATATTATGTGGCAGACTTACGTGTCATTCTGATATGTACGATCCGCTAAATCAACCTTTTTGTAAACACAAAACTTGATCTTCCCCGCATAAAAATGGCGTTTGCAGTATAGTAAGGAGTTGTTTCCCCTTACTGGTGCTATTTACAAGTGCGATTGAGGAATGCAGGGGAAAGAAACTTATCAATTATGTTTATTCTTAAGACAAAAATGAGCCGCCGTAAAGTGAACCGTGTCCAGGAGGTTACTGACACGTAATAGGGCAGAGACATATATACACATATGTGTATATATGTCTCTGTAATAGGGTCATCTCTCGAGAACATTAACTAGTACATTGATAATTTACTATGCAGTCAGTATCCCGAAAAAAAAACGTATGGATGCAAAACGCTTCAGTAGTGGTTTCGGCTGACTACTAATACGTGCACTTTGTCTCAAAATATCCCGGCAGCGTTAAAGTTGAAGTCAGGATCTTGGGAGGGGGGGTCTTCTTTTCTGTGTACTTTAAATTTTTTAGCTATATTTCTACAAACTTACATTTTTTGATCATTACTCTCTTTCCTCATATTTTAGCATTTCATTATTCTTTAATCTTTATTGTTTGCCCGTTATTCTCTATTCTGTTAACCCCCATCCATACCCTCTTATGTGGACTTAAGCTTTCGGTAGTTTATTTTATCCTATTTCTGTCTATGTGAATGTAAATACTTTATTTATCACAAAACAAAAACTTACTAAATATTTTTTTATGAAGTCCTCACCAGTTGCGGATCCAAAAAATGTCATAAGGAGGCACCGTAACTGTCATGCATAACGATGGGGCCCGCTTCAGTGATTCTCTAAATAATCAACCAATTTTTTCCAAAAAAGGGACGGGCCCCCATGTCCTCACCTTAATCCACCTCTACCCCTTCCCACTTCGTATCATTGAATTCAGATTCAAGATCTCTCTGATTAAAGTAAGTAAGTAAGTCACATTTGCTTATATCAGGTTTTTGAATTGAACTGGCGGATAGTTGTTTCATTACCAATCATACCACATCTCCTTATTTTTTATATATACGAAAGCTTTATTCATACTTTTAGGTGTATTGGTGAATGTGTAGAGATGCAGCAATTGTGTAGATACATTTTAACATACAGCACAAGAGATGCAGATTATATAAAACTTATAAGTCGAAAACATACTGACAACGCCATGGCAAAAACTTAAAAACGACCAAATGACGTACAACAGTCTATAAAACTTAACTATAGCATACAGAACGCAAACATTTAAAACACATAAGAAGCACCCAGACAGTCAAATAGAAATTTAAAGAATAAATAATTTGTAAAGATTTTCAACTAGGCCTACAGCTGTATTTTCTTATCATCTAACAGTAAACATAGGTTCTGGTACTATGTGATAAGTCATTTTTTCATGCAGACCCAGTTTCATTGATACCTTGAACTTAAAGTGGTTTTATGCATATCAGCCCAGATTGTGTGTGTAATTTTATTAAACAATTCAACAATACACGTTCTAAACAGGTTAAATTCAATTTACAAATTTACAAATTCAGATCTACTGGCATTCAACACCCAATTACTTACTTGCTGTATATTGTCAATCCCTCAACATCGTGAATACGCCATGCGAGGTGTTGGCTATGTTTGATACAGGGTGGCGGCTTCGAAGCGTAGAAAAAAATCCAGGTAAATGAAAGTGTAAAATTTTGTTGTTGAAAATTTTAAGTACTAAATTCCTAAATTTGTACTTAACTCCGTTCTACGGGTAACATGGTTGTTTGATATGAAAATAGGATAAAAAGCATTATCACATTATAAGTATTCGTAAATGGATATGAAAAAACTTAACAAGGAATAAGTATCGGTAAACGGACAGAAAGTCGCAGTACAAAAGTTTAAATTAATTATTTTACAATTGTTTAAATATATGAGTGAAAGTTCTTGACGAATTGACTTTATTTATAGATGGTATTTAGTTGAGGAAATGATTAATTCGCTTTCAAATAGTTTTTTTTTATCATTAACTTATAAAAAGGAGACATTTTTGACAGCATGAAGCCAGTTAATTACCAAACCACTTTGGCAGATTGTTTTCTTAACAATCATTGTTCAATATTAATATTCAAAAATAAATTTTGTTTACAAGTCCGTTTCCTTTTAAAAATGTTTCAGAAAATTAAGTTTATTCAAAGAAAAAAATATCCCAAAACTAAATCGTGACTCAAAATTTCCTAATGAAATTGTTAGATTCCAAATATTTAGGAGAAGATTGTATTTGTACTTTATGTAATGGTGGTTTTATTGGAGACGCGATTCATTATATTATAGCAAGGATTTGTACAAATCCTTGATTATAGAATGTTCGGCAATAGACGAAAGTAGACAAACCCTATTTAAACGGGGTTTTGATCTCCAAGGACCCCACATTTTACATCGAATAAGATCTATATTTTTTAACGTTTTCAAATGAAATAACTTGAATTGAAAATTTCCCGACTATGTGAAGATTTCTTATATTTCTAAATGGCTTCAATTATTACATACAAAACGAAAAAAATAACTTTTTTTTGTAAAAACAATATTCATGTATTATTATAATTTTTCCAAGGAAACGCTTTCTTTTTTTTTTTTGGCAAAGTTTACTTGTATGTGTTTATAACCATCACCAATCGTCTTGTGTGTGAATTTTTATGCTATAAGCATAAATAGTTTCTGACATACGGCGTGACATGCGAAAACCCCCTTTTTCTTTTTACAAAAAACTCAATATCTCTAAAATAAAACAACGCTCACTAAAACCAGAAGTCCATTACTAGACGTAAAACATATATACATGTCCTGAGTGACTTTTTATGTCCTGTCTGCACTCAGGAGATCCTGAGCGGTTTTTAGACGTACCGTTAATTTATAGGCATATATTTGAAGCTGTTCTTAATTATGTACATTATCTATAGGTATACATGTATCAGACAAAAAACTTTCCAAAGAACTTAGTTCTAGTTATCTTAGGTCCTAGTCACAGGCACTTGTCTCAGAAAAAAAATTTCCTATATACTTTTAATGTTATATTAAGGTATATAGGATACAAAATTCTGAGACAAGTGCCTGTGGTCCTAGTGTGAAATAAATCCACTGGGAATTGGCCTTTTTAAACACAACTATATACACGTTTTCTCAAGGGTTTGTACATGTAAAGTGAAATTATTTTTACTAAATGCGTAGTTACATAAGTTTATTTGCTACTGTTTTCTTCTTTATTTTATATAAATGATTTTTTTTTTGAATTTTAACATTTTTTTCTACGAAAAATTTGTAGTGTTGCAATAGGGAATGAACACAGATACTTAACTACATTTAACGAAAGAAATTTTGTGTAATGTCATCAATCTGTATTACACATAGACAGGATGTTCTCTAGATAACTATGGTATTTATAATACGTTATACACACCCCAGGGTACACGCACTGTCGTAATGGAAAATTACTGCATGCTTTAATTACCTGTAATCAGCCATGTAACAAATCAGTTGACTGACCATGTCATTACAGTTTAAAAAGTTTTTCCTCAGATCAAAACGGAATATTCATTTTAACTTTAAAATTTAAAACTTTAAAAGTATACTTTGACATAATTATGAAGTAAAAGAATTTAACAATTGACTAATCGGATTTTTCCAAAGATTAAGATACAATTATATTTATTATTCTGGGACTGACAGATATATCACAGGCACTTGTCTCAGAATTTTATTTCCTATATACCTTTATTAAAGTATATAGGATTTTTTTTCTGAGACAAGTGCCTGTGAGACATATACATGCATAAGTCCCAGACATATATAATTGTAAATCAAAATGATTTACCTAATTACTGGGAAATATAATATAATGTTTCAGTTATGTTGATGTCACAAATACACATGAATTATTTGATGATGCATGCTGGAATTTCTTATCTAAATGCATGACGATGACCACAGACATATATATATATATATACATTTACTGATTCTATAATTTCTTGAGAAAAAAAAATCAGGAGGGAAGTCAGAGGGAAGTGAAACAAACATTTTAAGCTTTTATTAGAAATTGTTGGGAAGACAATAAAATACGACATTGAGTTTTGAAAAAAAAGTTTATGATTGGTCTTATTTTTTTATTAATAAAGATGCCCCCTTTTTAGCCACACCGACGAATGGAGAATTCCAAATAGGGTCACAAGGTCACATTTTAAAACTTTTTCAGTCGCCCAGTCCCAAAAAAGCAATTTTGACTGGCATTGTTTTTAGTCGAATTATATTTTTGCAGGTCAGGTTGCAAAGTGGCAGGTCGGATTTGACTATGTTGACAACGGTCCTAAAAAATATCCGAAAAAACGTTGAATCAAACGATATGAACCTACGCAGTTTTATATTATAAGACTGACATACACCAGTGTGCTAACTGTGCTGGGTGAGGTGCTGTAACTTGATATACATGTATCATTAAGCTACAGTACTGTTAGGATTTGCCTGCCTATTTGCCTGTTAGTATAGACTGTCCCTGGCTTGAAAGTATGGTTCTCTGCTCAGCAACGGGTGCGTGATTAGCAAATCAAATATCTTGTAGCAGTAAAATACCTCGGGGGTGGGGGGGGGGGGGGGGGGGGGTGCACTTCAATATTTGATTGATAGGGGGTGTCGCTGGGGTTCTGTTACCCCACCCTTTTCATATAAATTAGATCTTAAAAATGTATACCTTTTCATATATTGCGTGGGTAAAATTGTAACCTTTTCCCATATTGATTGGGTTTCGTGGGGTATGTTGGAAAAGTGGAATATTTAAGGCTAAGATTTGTGTGTAATGTTTACTTACGGCGAGACTTTCGGCTGTGAAAAAATGACAGGGCTTTTCATATACAAGTAATTGGAACTTTATCGACCTTATCATATATTTCTGATAGTTTTCCCCTGCACCTATTCCCATATTTTCAAGCAGGAAAAAGTGACCTATTCCAGCGGCACGTCCTATCATCTTGTATATAGGAAGTGCCCCGCCCCCCCCCCCCCCCCCCCCCCCGAGTAAAATACACAAATGTATAATACCTTAATTCAGGAGCACAGTCTCTCTTTACCGTAAATAACTTCGAGATTTATATGTAAGTTTACTTTGCTAATCGATGTTCCTGTAATTCAGATTTATATTTATTTGTGAGACCCCCGTCACTATTTATATTCACTCAAAGAAAGGGGTTCTCCGTTACTGGGAAAATCTTATCTGATTCAGGAATCAATTTATCGGTTACACTCCCCTATCACCAGTGACATTCTGAAAAAAGGTATACTGTTGACTATCAATTTGCACGATTAGTTACAGATGTCGACTCGGACTACTGCAAAAGACAATAATTCAGTTCACTGATTTAGATTGAATAGTGGTTCGGTTAATCCCCTCTTCTCCAAACAAGTAAGAATTAGGTTACATCTTTTGGTAGTCCAAATAATTATGACGTCTTGCAAGGCTATTTTAATTTTTTTTTCTATCTATCTATCTTCATATTTCCGCACTCAGTCACAACTTTGACTATTACGTGCCCAGAAAAAAGTTAGAATAGCCTTGCAAGACGTCATAATTATTTGGACTAATCTTTTGGCAAATATGGTCGTACCACAGGCGTTTGTTACAATTTACCGGGTTTTCTATCCTTACGAATCCTGAAAAACTAACCAGGCCAGGTGATAAAAAATCTGTCTCCCCTTTTTATCCCACCAGAATATCAAAAGGTTGTCTCCTTACACCTACATGACAAAAATATATATACAAATATGGTATCATGACAATGTGACGGCTCTTCAACAGAAACTAAAGACGTAGAAGTTAACAACTATATAGGTCACCGTACAGAAGTCAACAATGGGCTAAAAAGGCAAACTGCATAATAAGCTACAAAAGGCCAAAATAGATAGACAATATCTGACAAGGGTAGAAATGTCCAGAATGTTGAAAAAAAAATCTACTGTCCATTTTTGATCTTGGGGAAACTCCTTATATTATACTGCCTGGTTTGGTGGTAGCGTGTTCACCTCAAGTGCAGAAGGTTGTTTATTTTGAACCCAACCGGGTAAAACCAAAGACTTTAAAGTTGGTATTTGCTGCTTCTCCCTTAAGCACGCTGTATTATTAAGGTGTAAGAGCAAATACTGGTTTGTTCAGAGTCAGAATAATGTGTCAAGGTAAGGTGACATGTCTCTCAGAGAACTAGTGTAAGAGATAAATTAGTCCTGGTAAAAATAATGAAAATTGTCTGGTCAGACAAATATAACTAGTATTAAAAGTCCATGGATACAGAATTTACTAGTATATTTAGTCGGATGTCAGTAATTTATGTCCCCAGACTAATTTTCCTAGTCCATGACATCACTATTCCGAGGTAAAAATGTCCAGTTTTTCTAATACTGTATGCATCATGTCAAGTATATTTGGTGTATGAAAATTTTTAAGGATGTATGTTTGTCTGGCATGTTTTATTCAACCTTGACCTCATTTTTATGGTTCATTGCTCAATGATATTTTTTTTGTTTGTTTTTTGGTCACTTTTTCTATTTCCTTATTTTCAAATTAGCAATAGGTCAACTATATTTGGTGTATGGAATGATTGTAAGGTGCATATGTTTGACTGAGAAGTTTCATCTTACCTTGACTTTATTTTCATAGTACATTGGACAATGTTTAGTTTTTGTGGTTTGATCTATTTTTCGGATACTGTTAGCAATAAGGCCCCTATATTTGGTGAATGGAATGATTGTAAGATGCACATGTCTGTCTGGCATGTTTTATATGACCTTGACCTCATTTTCATGGTTCATTGGTCAATGAAAAGTTTGCATTGTTTTGTCAGTTTATCATATGCTTTAAGCAACAGGTAAATTATATTTGGTGGATGTAACGATTGTAAGGTATGCATGTCTGTCTGGCAGATTCATATAACCATGACCACATTTTATGGTTCTTTGGTCAATGCTAAGTTTTCTTGGTTTTTTCATTTTATCAGATATTATAAGCATATGTCTACTTGTTGGTGTATGGAATGACTGCAAGGTGTCATATAAAAATAACAAGATGTCTGTCTGCCAAGGTTAATATTGCTGTGACCTCATTTTCATAGAATATTGATAATATTAAACAGCAAAAATGATGAGCAAGATATACAAATGATCTGAAATTGTCAGTTGCCTACTAGTACTAATTATGTGATAGTAGTTATTGTCATTAAATGATAATGTTTACCCTTTTATGTGTAGGGCAAGGACATTAAAGATAAAGGGAAACTATAAACAAAAGAAATTATCAACAAAAATAGATTTACAGATGTCAACAAAGCCTAAATGGTAAGTCCACTTCTATAAAAGTTATTGCCCTTGAATAATGATTATTATGAAAATAAGCTGTGGTATGATAAATAAGAAAACTATCCACCAGAGTTCAATTAAGTGGATGTAAGCAATGCAATTACTTATTAGAGGCCAATGATGACCTGTAAATAATGAGAAAACCCATACCCTATACATGATATAGTCATCTATAAAAGACACCACAAACAAAATTTGGAACAAAACATCAATTCAAACTTCAAATATACCAGACTAATTTATAAAAAAAAACAAGTTATGAAAAAACAAATATGACGTACTTGAACCAACATCAACCACTGAACTATGTACAGGCTCCTGATTTTGGACAGGCAAAATATGGCAGGGTTGATATAAAGATAAGAAGCGGTATGATTGCCAATGAGACTTTTCTCCAATAGAGATCAAATGACATTAAATTTAACAAAATTAGTTCACTGTACAGCCTTCGACAATGAGCAAACCCTATACTGCATAGTAATCTATAAAAGGCCATGAAATAACAAATTTAAAACAATTTAAAAAGGGCATGGTGTCTATCCATGCTAAACATGCTTGGGGGAAACACCACAAAGGCGAAAGCTAAGTGCCTGATTTTTGCACAAAACAAAAAATAAAAAACAAATATGATATATAGCAACAATTGACAACCACTGAATAACAGGCCCCTGACTTGGGACAGCCACTTACAAAATGTGGCATGGTTTAACATGTTTGCTGGTGCCAAATCCTCCTCTAATTAAGGGCAGTGGTGTAAGTGTCAGTTCATTTAAATATAAAAACTATAAAATCAGTTGAAAAGGGCTATTTTCTGCTCTTTGGTCAGGTTATTTTGATACATTCCCGTTTTCATTTTCAATTTTATTAACTCATTAGAATGCAACAAAGCAGAAAAACAGCTACCAAAAACACAGACCGGATGTGGCTGGAAATTTATTCTTTCCCTTTAACAAAAAAGACTCAACATACAGATCTATTAGTACTGACAGTTACTGACAGCTAATTCAAAGCAAATATCAACTAATAAAATAAACATTTTGTGAGCACCCAACCCACGCCTAACCTGGGACAGTGGTTTTAATAACAGCACAACATTTGAACAAACTGTAAACATTTGTTGCAATTGGCTTAACTCAAAAGACTGCAACAAGGCACAAAAAACAACTAATATGAAAACCATAGACACAAAGCACTGAAATAAGAGTTCTTACAATTTTAAATATTCAAATGAAAGTTTTATCAAAATGTACATAAACATGATAAAATAGCCATGTTATTGCTGTATTTCTCTTCATTTATAATTTTTGAGTTTTGTGTATTTGTAGGTCAGACATCTTGGTTTTCATGATCATCATTCAACAAGTCAATACTGAACAGAAAACTTAAAGTTGATATTTTTCTACATAGTGTGACTTTTTTATTAATTTGAAATGGAATGTGTTTTTTTCCTACATAAGAAAGAGGAAATTTCATCATAATGACTATAAACAAAAAGGCGTCATATCATCATGATCATAGATGCACAAGAACTTAATCATGTAAATGCAACAACGTAATTATCAATTGAAAGAAGGGAGGAATGAAAAAATATATTAGTATTTTGTTGTCCAAATGAACTTGCTTTATCCACTCATTTAAATCGCTCCATCCAATAAAGATGTACGGTGGAAGATTTTTGAAGAACAGATTGCAAAAGAGGTTTTGTCTTAGAATTGTAGGAATATTCTAGTGGATGAAATAATTTATTTACTTGACTCTTATATAGTGGACTGAATAATTGTACATAGCAAGCTGAAACAAGAAAAACTAAAACTTAACGGGAAAAGTGTTTATTTTATAAATTTGCAAATATAAACGTAATATTATGAACACCACAAAGGTATAAGATTCAAATCGTTTGCATATTCATGTATTGCAATAGAACTATAACAAAGAAAACTTTAACTTATGAAAAGAGTAAACTATTAACTGTGCTTTGTCAATTTATTCAGTCAGAATATAAAATATTTTTTTCAGTTCTATTTTTCATAATAAAACAAACAAGACAAAGATTTCAAATCAATATTTTTTCTTTTATTAAGACATGTCATCATTTTATTTCAGTTAAAGGATTTTATTTTTTGACTTTAAATAGTATTATACTTTCCAAAATAATAATAATCTTTATTGTCATATAAACAAATTAAAAACATGTTTGTGACAAAATGAAAAAAACCAAAATACACTCATACATGTCATATATATATTATAAACTTTTTACTACCAAACAGAATTCAATGTAACATACACATTACTGTATATTTATAATTTGAATTCCATAGGATTTTATTTTGTCCCATGGGATATTAAAAATCCCATGGGATAATTATAGTCCCATGGGATTTTTTTTGTCCCATGGGACAACAAATATCCCATGGGACTACAATTATCCCATGGGACCCAAAAAAATCCTATGGGATTTAACCAAAATCCCATGGGATAATGGAAAATCCCATGGGATTTGCCTTATCCCATGGGATATTGAAAATCCCATGTTTTTCTAAATCAAATTACAGAATATATATAATAATAACAGTAGAAAAGCAATGAAATTATTGAATCCCATGTAATTCCGCACATTTTGGTTATATACACGACATTGTAGGTCTAAGGAGAGGCAGCGGCGGATTTGCAAATGAGTGTTTTGCAAATTAAAAGTGTCCAGTGTTCTTTGACCAATTTTTGCCAATTTTGCATGGAAATGACTCGTTACAAATACGATGTTTGTAACATTCATCGTGCTCATCCAGAGTGTTCTTCTTGTCCGGACACCTTACACACTTCTTAAACTTATCTTCCTGTTTCTCCATCTTACGATTCAAATTCTTATTATCCAAATAAACGTACGGGGAAAGCAACGCATGTGCTTTAATGGCGGCCGCCGAGAGAAACTGAAGAGTTACGCAAGGGAGATAACTGGAGGTATTACCGTATTTATAATAAAAAACTCGACGAACGTATGGGGAAGTAGAGGGAAATTGCAATTAGTTAAGGAGGCAGTTAAATGGAAATATTGAAGTGAACAAACCCTCCTCTATATTGTCATCAAGCCTTGGAGGGGAACAAAATTCAGTGAATTCCTGCTTAGATACCATAAAGGCTTTTTCAACTCTTAGGCGCACTGATCTCCTTTTAAGCCTGCATGATATTGCTTCCTATTCTACATTTTTTTAAATCTCAATAGTTGTGCCTTCTAAATGCAATTTCAAATTCGTTGCCTGGTTTGGTTTACCAGGATAAAGACGTGACGATAAATACGAAGATCGGGCTTCATCTTTTTTCACGTCCTGTGAACAATTAATGTTCAATTTATTAGCCATGTTATGAAGAAATCTACTAGTATTCCATTGAATAGGGTCAGTAGTGCCTGGTGCACCTTCACTGACAAGAGAAATATCGTGTTCAAAATATGGTATGTTATGAGTTTCATTATTATTGTCATCTGAACATAATGAACCTTTGATACTTATTTCACCATCTTGTGATCTTACAGAGATCTGATCATCAGGAACAAACTTGCTGTAATGAGGTCTTGTTTTAGAACAAGAAGGAATTGGCGCTTGTTTCACCTCCGTGTCAATCATGGCACGTGGTAACAGCTGTTTAAGTTGTATTTGAACCTGTTCAGCAATGAACTTGTTAAATTCAACTGCCTCGTGCTGCAATACGGGCGTATCATTCATTGCGTCCTCTGCACACTTGTCACTTTCGATCTTATCGAAGTTTGGAGATGCCAATGCACTCGGCATTTATACAACATTTTATCAATGATTAATCGCCTTTTATCATCCCATTCTCGGCAAATGTCACATGGGAAACCTTTATGACATATTCGATGCCGAAAACATTCATCGTGATTGTCTACATTCATACGACGTGCACTACATCTTATACAACTCTTAAATTTATCCTCCATATCTTAATCTTCCATCGATGGCTATCCAATTATAATTAAACGAAACGACGATTGCGCGAGGTTAATGCGAAATTAGACCGTAGCCATTAAATCCGCTAAAGGTAAAGTGATCTTCTTTGTGGAGATCGTTATGGGGAGATAATCTAAAAGTTTCAAATTTTTTTCAGACATGTTACTATATTCCATGCACCAAATATAGTTTCAAATGTTTTCAGACAGGTAAGTACAGATTTTGATATAAACATTGTTTTTATCGGTGCTAACAATGATTTTGTATTTGTTTATTTTGTTCACCTAATAAAGTTGACCTTTATACGTTCAGTATCAAAGAAACTTAACATTGACCAATGAACCAGGAAAATTGCAATACTGGCTATTTCTTTGCGGTCAGTTTATATCTATGAAATGCTTGGAGAGAACCATAAACCTTTGTTAGGAAAACTGACAATCTTTGTCAATTAAGATAGCTTTACAGGCTAGTGATACAGTATGTGAACTACTTAGATCACTTGGTCACAGAAGACCCCAATGAACCATGTAAATAAACTCATCATACAACCAGGAGTGAAATTTTGTATTTGCGCCAGACGCGTGTTTCGTCTACAAAAGACTCATCAGTGACGCTCGAATCAAAAAAATTTAAAAAGGCCAAATAAAATACGAAGTTGAAGAGCATTGAGGACCAAAAATTCCTAAAAGTTTTGCCAAATACAGCCAAGGTTATCTATTCCTGAGGTAGAAAAGCCTTAGTATTTCAAAAATGTAAAGTTTTGTAAACAGTTAATTTATTATTATGAATTATATCAATGACGATTCATGTCAACACAGAAGTGCTGACTACTGGGCTGGTGATACCCTCGGGGAGTAAAAACTCCACCAGCAGTGGCATCGACCTTAATGAGGTTAACGGAATTTGATACCTGCCCGACAGACATGTACACCTTACAATTACTATATTCCACGCACCAAATAAAGTTTCAAATGTTTCCAGACAGGTAAGTACAGATTTTGATATAAACATTGTTTTTATCGGTACTAACAATGATTTTGTATTAACATTGACTATAAATGAACCAGGAAAATGAGGTCAAGGTCAGTTGATACATGCCAGACAGACATGTAAACCTTTATACGATATATAGTTAACCATTTTGTTTATAGTACCCAAGAAACGGACTTAACCAGGAAAACTTAACATAAAAAAATAGTTCAAGGTCAAATGAAACATGTCGGACATGTACACCTTACAATCATTCCATGCACCTAATATAGTTGACTTATTGCTTATAACAGTCAACTCTCGTTGTCTAACTCGGTCGACTCGAAATTTCGGATGAGTCGAAATTTTCCCGTGGTCCCGAATTTTGTTCCATACAAATATATGCATTTCGACTCCTGATGAGTCGAAATTGGATGAGTCGAAATTTTGGTTGTGTCTAACCAAAGTTACGGTCCAAAGGCCAACAAAAGCATATAAATTGCATGTGTTGTGTCGAAGTAATACACACATGTCAAAACATGACCTCGGGGATTGAAATGGATTGACCAGTTTATCTGACAACGCACGCGAAATTAAATTTCCGGACATTTCTTTTTGAGTCGAACTACGGGTATCTCGAAGTATTTCTCTGGTCCGACCGACTTCGAGATAACGAGAGTCAACTGTATCTAAGAAACCCTTTCAGCAATATTGGCTATTTCTTTGCGGTCAGTTTTTATTAAATGAAATGTTTGGAGAGAACCACAAACCTTTTGTTAGGAAAACTTGACAATCCTTGTCAATTAAGATAGCTTTACAGGCTAGCGATAAAGTATGTGAACTACTTAGATCACTAGGCCACAGAAGACCCCAATGAACCATGTAAATGAGGTTAACGGCAGATGATACCTGCAAGACAGACATGTACACCTTACAATTACTATATTCCATGCACCAAATATAGTTGACTTAATTACTGCCTATATCTAAGAAATAGATTTATCCTGAAAAGTAAGTATTGACCAATGAGCCATGAAAATGAGGTCAAGGTCAGAGGAACTATTCAATTATAATTTTGAGAAATCAATCCACTGTTACATATATTTTGGGTTTGCACAAGGTAATGTATTTCTCACGATTTATGACGTCTTTACACTATCTTTTGGATTGAGAGTTTAGTCTGGGAGAACAGGATTTGTTTTATTACTTGTAATTATAAGTTTCAACTAGCTTTCAGTATAAACTGAGTACTCATATTCTTGTGCTTTTTGTCTGTTTTAATGCCTTGTGCAGATCTTTTGAGTTAAGCCATTAGACTTACTTATTATGTTGTGCTGTTTTTTTTATGCCCATCCCAGCCAGAAGCCGGTAGTTTAGTGGTGTATGTTGGTACATGTCAGTCATATTTGATTTTCATAAATTGTTTGGTTATTTATTTGGCCTTTTGTTTTCTCGTCCGGCTTGTTTCACATTTTGCATGCTAGGCCTTTAATGCTGGCTATATACTAGGTTTTCTCATTGAAAGCTGTATCGTGTCCTATTTTATAGTTGTCAAATTGGCAATCATACCACATCTCTTATCTTTATATTGATCGCATTCTGCAAGAAAAATACATATTGATTATTCAAAATGTATCATTCTGTTCCACCAATTTTTCTTTTTTGTTGTATTGGGAATCTGTAATAAAATGCTCCGCTGGGCGCAGCTTGATACGACCGCAGAGGTCGAACCCTGAACAGTTGGGGCAAGTATGGACACAACACTCAAGCTTGATACAGCTCTGAATTTGGATTGTGATTAAATATTTGACACAGCATAGGTTTCTGACACAGAATGAATGTGGTCTAAGAACTTAAAAATTTTTAATTTACCTATTATGGTCCAATATCCAAAATCTAAATACATGGTTAGATTCAGCATATCAAAGAATCCAAAGAATTTAATTTTTGATGAAATCAAACAAAGTTTAGTTTTGGACCCTT